ATTAAATATAAATTATTAAAAACTAAATAATAAAAAAAATAAACCATTTTCGTTTCTGCAATAATTACACAAATATTCTATTTTTCCTAAGAGGAATTCTTTTCCTAGGGCTCTTTTCCCGGGGAATTTTTTCTGGGGACTTGTTTCTCAGCGGCTTTTTTTCCGAAGCATTTTTGCGGGTTTTTCCTTCCCGGGTTTTTTTTCCGATTACCGATTCCACTATACTCGAGTTCAATTATCCATTATCTTATCAATGAATTAACAAAGCGACAGACAAAGTACAACCTATACCAGTGAACCTAGAGATTTGAAATTTGGAGGAAATATTGTGCTCTAGAATGCCATTTTTTTGAAATTCCATCTCCGAGGGGATAAAAAGGGATGATAGTTTGTATGCAACTTTAATTATGTTTTCAAAACAGTTAAATAACTCAAAAACTACTAGAGATAGGTTTAGGAAACTGTTAACAAAGTCGACCTAAAATTAAACAAAGAAACCAAAAATCCAAAAATATACAGGGTGTTGCTTTTACAATAACTAATTTAGGTAGGATCCAGAAGAAATACAGTTATGGACGAACCCACCTTAAGTGATACACCATGTATATATTTTATGTCATCCAATCAAGCATTTTATTTTAAATACTATTTATGAAATATCGATTTTGCATTTTGTATTTTGCATGTATTCTGCAGAGAAGTAAAATATTTAGTATTCTCAAATATTCAAGAAATTTGAACGAAACAAAATTGCCAATTAACAAAAAAATCGTTTTCATATTGCACAATTTTCTATTTATGAGCGAATTGTTGTCTCATTTTGTATATGTGTGTGTGATTCCAATAATATTCATCAGTCAACTAATTATGGAAATCGACAGATTTAAATGCGTTATTAAAACAGTTTATGACACTTTATCATCTTCTTATTGTAATAAAAATACACATAAGATATATAATTTATGAGAATATTTTTGGCAATAAAAAGAAATATTTTAATCAAGTGTATACGTACATTTGCGTTAATAATTGTTTTCAGGGCACGTGTCTATTTCTGTTTCAATAAATACATTTACATGACTATATTAATTTGTATGCTTAACCGTTCGCATTAAATTTACTTTTTATAAATATTACTCAATTCATTTTAATATTAAAAGGCATATTAATTTTTTTATATCAATAAATCAAGGGACTATTTTTTAACATACCTAACATTAACTGAAAACAATTTAAAGGTGGTAGAACTCCTCGAACTGCTTGGCTTAGAAGAATGTCAAAGTGTAATGACGAACAGATTATCTGGAGGACAACAGAAGCGCCTTGCAATTGCCTTAGAATTAATAAGCAACCCCCCAATTTTATTTTTAGATGAACCAACAACGTAAGTACAATTTTAATACCATTTTGAAAAAGAGTAGCCCATAAAGTACGCAGTATGCTCATTGTAACCAAACTGTAAGTTTAATCGAAAAAATTTTTACACAAAACTTACTCCCTATATTAATGCAAGATCGTCTCTATTATCAAATTTGGTTAACACCGACCATCTCATATTAAAATAGGAAACAAATTTTGTTTGATAAATTTTTCGATTAAACTTACAGTTTTTGGGCCACCCTGTTTATATTCTGTTATTTATAAAGATGTCATACATATGAAACTTTTATTCACATAGTTTAAGCTTAATTTTACAAACAATAAAATAGTACATGATCTAGTGTGCGATATTTTAAATACTATTCGTTATTTTCGTCGTGTTCACATACCTAAAAGCATGTAGAAAGTTATCTACCTACCTACATTACAATAAATTATTATTGCATTGTTACACGTTAGTGTGTAAAAAATTTATATAATATTCATGTTGCACCTACATAATAGTTTTACACCATGATGTAAATTACTCATGAATGTCAGATTATTATAGATTCCATATAAAAATATGTACTACAAGGTTATAGGGTAAATGGTAAATAATAATTACCTTACTGCCAATAGTACTTACACATTTAGTTTAAATTGTTTTTATAAGTTAAATAATACGAGCAATAATAAAAATCGCAATTTCGATCTTATTTGATCTCATCAGCACGCGTGTAACGAAGAAGCCCCGTTGCAGTAACAAGGTTTTTTACACTTGAAAAGTGTTATGATAATTTGCTGAAGCAGCAATTATTTTGAACGCACTTTCATAATAATTTGTTGTAACATATTTACTCGTACAATTAAGAGAGCACTTATTATTGTGGGCTAAGGTTAAGACGCGTCTTGTTTATTTTTTTATTCATTCCATTGATCACCACTACAAAAATGACAATGTGTAAAATCAATACAAACATTGCATCACTAATGATAAGTGAGTCAATAAACATGGTGCAGAAAATTTCCGTTCTTTAACGTTAATTGATAAAAATGATTCCATCAACACATTGTAACCTTAACCATAATGATTTATAATAGGAAATAGTAAACAAATAAATCCTTTGTTTTCATTATTCTACATGTACCTACTTAATCTACTTAAAATCACATGCTCATGTATATAAACTAATTAACGTTCTGTTTCTTCGAATTTGAGTGTTCAAAATGTTTAAAATTATTTTTCTGTTGCCCGAACTCTAGAGTATTTTCTTCCAGTTTGAGACATAAAATATATGTTTAAATTGTAACCCACTGTATACACATACTTTACGGAATAGTAACCATGCACCAGGTGAAAGTTACCTAAGTGCCTGACGGCATTTTCGTGCATGAAAATGTTTCGTAAGTCCAGTAAAAACTAGGACTAGGACTACATTTTTTACCCTGTTATTTATTTTTACCTTAAAATACAGGATAAACTTGAAAACGTAAAGTAAACAAATAAACTGTTACTTAACCATTTTCAAATTTTAATAATCTTATTGCAATACTGCAGTATAATTTGATCCAATTAAATAAATTTGTAAAACTATCTTTGTTGTTTATATGTGTATATTTTTAGAGCATTTTGTTGCACTAGTGTAAAAAAATTTGTGTTGTTAATATTAATGATCACTGAGATAGGTTTAGGAAACTGTTAACAAAGTCGACCTAAAATTAAACAAAGAAACCAAAAAT